GCCTGGCATGGGATTCCTTGATCACGTCGTCCTTCAGCATCTGGCGCGCGGGATGGTCCGCCGGCAGCAGCTGGCTCATGAGGGATTCGTCAGGTGTCAAAAGTCGCCTGCACTCGACACAGTAGGGCGCGTGGTTGGTCACAAGCGTTGGCAGAAGCTCATCTAATTTCCCGAATGGCGGGCGCTGCGTCAAGTCACAGATCGATGCTTTGGCATTTGCCACGTTGGCGCGGCAGCGCTCATTGAACAAGTCGGTATAGACTTGGCGGGACTGCAGCTTGGTTTTTGATGCAGTCACAGCAAGGTCTCCACCAGAGACAAAGAAAATCTTGCCACTGTACTCCGTCGGGGTTACAAATAGCTGCACGAACTCCTTGAAGGACCCAGCAAAAGTCACATGAAGCGGGTTCCAGAGCACCGAGAACCGCCTTGCACGCCGGCCGGGTATACCTAGCTGGCTGGGACAAACCCGGAAGACTTCCATCTTCCAATGGCGGCTCGACCAGTAGTGAAGCGGAGCAAGGAGGCAATAGTCTTTGAAGTCGGGGGTATTCTCATGCACCAGTACGTGAAGTCCACTTTTGATGAACGACCCCAGCCACACTGCATACACTATCATCGTCGGGCCACCCGCACGCCGGCGGCGGCCACGTTTCGACCAGTCCACGCAAGGACTGCCGGTGATCTCGAGAGCGAGCTTTGAACCAAACTCTGGCACAACATTGCAGCCCTGGCCATGCACTTCGCAAGGGGCCACACTTGGTTTCTCGGACTCACCACCCTCGAACATCGGCTTCATCAGCTCTATCAGAAAGGCGGCACCTTCCTTTTCATCCGAACCATCGAAATCACCTTTGGAAGCTGCTATTTTCTTCATCTTCTCCAGCACATCTTTTGAAACGAAGCTTTCCAAGTCATTGAAGATGTGGCACGGCGCGTGCTTCCGCCACGCTGCCTGCTCTGCCAAGGCCCGCAGGCACCTGAGGCCACGTGCATCCCGCTCTGCCGCAGAGTGCATCATAAAGCCTGCATCGGGCCCATGAATGCCAACAGCCCGCTCTATCTCACGCGCAGCTGCACCCGGAGCATCGAGCCCCGAAAACCTCGTCAGAAGTAATATGCCATCTGCGAGGTTCTTGCGAAGGAGCTCAAGGTTCTCATCTGGTAAAGCCTTCAAGTGGCGCTCTGCCCAAGCAAAGCACCATTCCAGTGGATCATCCGCCTGCAGCACATCACGAGCAGCCCGGGCAAAACAACTTCAGGGCAAAGAGTTGAGTGAGTAGAACAGCACACAACCGGCATGCAAGCAAACTTCGACGCTGCCAGCTTTTGCTACAGAAGCCAATGTCCGAGCGGGCTGTGCACGCAACACTCCGGGCACAGGCTGAGCAGCCAGAAGACCAGCTCTTTGTGCTGATCGCAGCCGCTGGGCCAGCACCCTTTCGCTGAAAATCGCATCGTCTCATCTTGCACAGAGACACATTGGCGACAGTCTTTCAGCTGTCTGCAAAATTAATGAAAAGATCACCCACTGGCAGCATCACCAGATTGGCAGTGCATCAAACAAGCTTACCGCGAACCCGGTACGGCTTTCGCCTTTGCTGCACATGGCTTCGATTTGCCCAGCATGTCCTTGATGTTGCCCGTCGGCTTGGCCTGCCAACGGAAACGCAATATCTTGGGCAGCGAAATCTTGCAAAGAGCACAATTCAATCAAACAACGCGCACTGCAACTGGGCTGCCTGATCCTGGTTGTTGTCGCTCGTCGCCTTTGCTTTGGCCTCGGCCAAACGCTTCGTCTCCGCTTCCACGGCCCTCTGCTTCTGTGCTTCAGCGGCGGCCCTTTGCTTCTCCTCTTCCCCGGCCGACACTGCAGTCGCATCCAAACGCTTCTTGTACTCTTCAGCCGCCTGCTTCTGCTTTTGCCGCGCTTGGGCGCTGGCCTCTTGCAAATACTTCTCTGCTTCAGCGGCCCTCTGCTTCTCCTCCACCGCCTTTGCCCTGGCCTCCTCCAAACGCTTCGTCTCTGCTTCAGCGGCGGCCCTCTGCTTCTCCTCTTCCAACGCCTTTGCTCTGGCCTCTTCCAAACGCTCCTCCAAACGCTTCGTCTCTGCTTCAGCGGCGGCCCTCTGCTTCTCCTCTTCCACCGCCTTTACCTTGGCCTCCTCCTCCAAACGCTTCGTCTCTGCTTCAGCGGCCCTCTGCTTCTCCTCTTCCACCGCC